TAAGAAGGAGACGATTTATGAAAATAAAGTGTGAACTAATTTCCTATATAAGCCTATAGGCTAAGTCTTTACTCTTGTACAGAGAAACTGACTGTAGAGTAGTAAAGCATGGAAGCCAAGCAGCCAAACAGAGCTCTGTTAGAGTGAAACAAAAGTCTGATTGTACATTTTTCTGTAGATTACAGGACTAGTATAGCTCTACAGTGCAAAATTGATGACTGTCTGCTGGGAAAGAGAAGGCTGGCTCTACCTCTCTCTGAATTAAAGGACCCATTTTTTGAAAAATACTAACAATTTCAAGAGGTAAACCTGACCCCAACATCACTGTGTTGTATGTGTACTGTGACAGCAGAACAATTGACAGGCATGGCAACGGTAACTAAAGGGGTAAAATATTTATGATACTGATAAAACAGTGTTCTTTTTGATGGGTTTTAAGAAAGAAGTATACACACACTGATTAATGTTAGCTGGAAGTACATGTTTTCCTTGGAGCAGATGATGAGTGAGCTTACAGCTTTACAAGCTTTGTTGTGGTTTGTTCAGGTGAATTGATGCAGCAGCTGTATGGAGAGCCACTTTCACCACTCAACCCTTGAATGGCATAATAGAAGAAAAGGTTACAGGTCTTCAGGTGATTATACATTTCATTAGTCCATTGAATATTACAATTTAGTGGATATTAGCCTTCCATTCATGTGTTTTTAAAAGCAGTTCTTTTTATTTAAAAAAAAAATGGTTTTGTATGTGTTCCCCAAATCTCTGAGCTTCTGCCTGACCGTGGCACAAACATTGTTCTGAGGCATTCAGCCGTCATGACTCACATGTCCACACCCCACATCTTTACAAAGGTACTCAATCAGGGCTCTGTGAGTAAAAAAAACTACTCTCACTTGTTTTCTTTTTGAGAAAAAAGCACATGAGATCTTTGTGGTGACGTGGTGTGATTATCACATTTAATGTGTAAAGAGGTTTGAGAGTTTTATCACTACTTTTAGGTGACAGCGTGGGAGGGGTGTTAATCCATTTATCATTGCACATGAGAAGCAGTGTCATTTTATTTAGCTTGTTACAAATGGGCACACAGGTGAAAAAAATGCTCATAGGTAGGGATCATGTGAGGTCCAACATGTCCTCATATCTAAATGACAAAACAGGTTGATTGTCAATTGTCCCTAAAGGAAATATATGTCTGTTGTAAAGCACCAAGACATATAGCCTATGGATGTTTCCAAAAACCACATGGCCGTTGGAAAGTACCAGCCCAGCAATAGGCCTACTGGATCTTTAGTGCGTTATGTAAGTCACACAATGTTAAACATGAGGTTAATGTTGTGAAACAGGTTACTTGCATCAAAACCACTTGGTTAGGCTAGGTAAGATCATGGTTTTGGTTAAAATAAGTACCCCATGTTATAAGTCATGACTTTACTTACCTACGTGACGTTATTTGACTTTAAATTTTAAATAAATCAAACTTGATTTGATTTCACACTGCAGTCAACCCATCACCTCCTGTGTGAAAGGCATGTGTTTGTTGGACCGATCCATCTATCCACCCGAAACACCTCTCTAAATTTACTTTCTTGCTCTTTATACTACATCACCTGGCACCCTCCGTTGCAACTGTCATTAGTCCACTAGAGGTCACAGCCTATATAATAATGGTAAGTGTGGGTTCAAATAAGCTGCCACACAATCTTATATAGCCTTTTTTCATGTGAGGACATTCTGTGAGGTCTGTTGTGAATGTAAAGTCTGAGTGGTCTGATGTCTGCTGCTCAAATGATTCCCAATTCAAAAGCAGTGCCCATGGAAACTCTACCTCCAGCAGGAGGTACTACAAAGTGATAAATGTGTTCAAGGTATCTTTGTTATTAACATCAAGTGATTAAACTGTATGTGGTATCATTACAATGCAACTTTGTAACTTTTATTTGTTAACAGTCATCATGGACGTGAAAGCTACGTAACTTGTGTGGAGGCCTGTATCTGAGAGGTCATTTATAGAGTAGTGTAGGATGGGAAGACTGGAAACCTCTTGCTTTAATCTGGGTGTTTAGGATGTGTGGGATTCAGGCTGTGGACTTCTGGCAATCATGACTGCAGCATAACACACACACACACACACACACACACACACACACACACACACACAAACCAGAAGGTTTTTAAAAAAAGAATGGGTGAGAGAAAGAGTTGCTAACTAATAGATTTCTGAATAGGTTATGCAATAGTCATACAATAATCAAATCAAGTTCCTGACTCAACATCCTCCCACTTTCTCCTTCACAGTTGTGTGAATTCTCCAACACATATAGCCTACACAAATAGATAGATAGATAGATAGATAGATAGATAGATAGACTTTTCCCACCCACGCGCACTACGCAGCTTCTTGTATTAATAAACAAGGCATTATGTTATTAAAAATATTTATTTCGAAAAACATCATCTCAAGTGCATGTAATGACACAACGATACTGCATTATGTTTAAATGAAAATCCGTACTTTATTCGTTGTTTTAGTCGCTCTGTAACATTCTCACGTCTCAGTGCATTTGTCTCTCACTGAATCTGACATTTTTCCAGCGCTTTGCCGGGCTTTCTTGCCGTATGTGGCCCAATGACTTGTCTGAGATCCGTGCTAAAACTCGGCCGACGGGCCAGTGGGTACAGGGCGCCGCAGGGATCGTCGCGCCGCGGGGTCTGGCCGCCCTTACCGGCAGACGCCCTGTCCGCATCGCCTGGTACGAACGGAGGGAGACTTTGCGGTGCTGAGACGGGCCAGTTTCAGCGGGAAGCCCGCCTCGCTTAGCCAAAGTCTCAAAGACTTGCTCTAAATTTGTGCTGTCTTTTGCAGACGTTTCAAAATAGGCGCAGTCATCGCCAAGGACTTGGAGCACCTCTGCCTTAGATATTTCTCTCTCAGACTCCAGGAGATCTACCTTGTTGGCGCAGACCACCAGGGGAACCCGCGGCTGTGCGCACGGCTCTGGCGCAGAGCATTTGGTGAGTTTGGATTTAGCAGCCAGAATCTCCGTTCGTAGGGTGCACACCTCTTCGAAGGAGCTCCGGTCATCTAGACTGAATACTAGAAGGAAAATGTCTCCTGCAAAAAAACAAACAAACATTAAGATGGAAATTAAATCAATGAGTTTCCTAATAATGTATTTTTAGGAATATATATATAGAAATAATTTTTACGCATGCACCACCAACTGACAAGCACTTGTAAATGTGTGCAGGACAGAGATGAGCCAATACGCACCAGTGAGGATAGACAGCCGCCGCTTGGCTGGAAAATCCCTCTCCCTGGATGCGTCCAGGATGTCAATTTGATAGGTCTCTCCGCGGATACGAAACAGTTTCCTGAGGAAATCCTCGGAGGTGGGATTGTACTCCTCCACAAACCCGTCCCGAAGGTATCTTCTTAGGATGGATGTCTTGCCGACCCGTGGCGCACCAAGAACCACGATGCGCTTACAGTTCTGCGGCTTGGTGGAGGAAAGAGGGTCTTGTCGGTGATCGTGGCCGATCTTGGACTGACGGGTTTGACCGTGGAGAACCAGAGCAGCCAGTTGATCCAGTGGGGATCTCTTGCAGGGATGGCTGCTGCGCGTCTTCTTCTCCTGTTTCCACTGACACGTGGCCACTTTAAGTATCCCCAAGCCCGCTTTAATCCCGATGAACTCAGGTGCTGCGATGCGTTTTGTAAGCCAGTAAGACTTTGGAGGACCCGGTGCACTGCCCATCCATATTACCGTGAAACTGGGGACCATCTACGGTGGAGCAGCTGAGCTGGTGCGGAGCAGGAATGGAGGTGGTCTGTGCGCCGGAGGAGATACTGCCCATTTCCATCGTTGTGGGTGGTTGTGGTTCTGCGAGACAAATTGGACAGAATCTGTGATCTGACGTTTTATACGCCTGTGCTATCTTGCCTTTGGCTGATGTCAGTTGTCTTTATATAGGCTATCCTCAACCCCGTAGCTCATTCGCGTCATGCTGATTGGCAGAAGGGGATGTTGTGTTCTTCAGGAGAACACCGTTTTGAGCTCATAGGCTCAACTGAGCGACCAGGTTTTAGTCCACTTATCCTATACTATGCATGTTTCTGAAGCCCCTATAAAACTTGAAGTGTGCGTCCAATATGATCTAATAGCCTAAGCAATAGATTTTTATTAGGCCTATTATTATTATTATTATTATTATTATTATTATTATTATTATTATTATATTATTATTATATTATTAGGCCTATTATTAGGCCTTTAAAGGTAGGCTTCTATTATTAGCCAACAAAATTTAAATAGGCCTATCACAAATCACACAGGGGCTTTACAGTCCATACAGCAGGAACCCTCCATCCGGATGAGGACCCCCCCCCCCCCAAACCCTTTTAATGGAAAAAACCTAATTAGTAAACTTAATGTACATATGTTTTGTTTTCCATTATTCTGCTATTCTCACTTTTGCTATAGGCTATTAGGCATAGGTCTGATAACATAAAAAGAGAAAGATTTCTGCTTCATTTTGTTCTGTCTCAAATGCAGACAAATATCTTTTTAGATATAAAATATAGTAACCTAGGCCGATATAACTCTATCTAACTTTATTAGGCTATATGTTTGTTTTATTTATTATATATGTTAGGCTACCATATTTTAATTAACTATCCTATCTGTTAGGATCTGTGTGTGTAGCATGAAGGGACTACGAACTTTCCTTTCGTTAGCCTATTCAACCTTGTGTTGTAGCTTTAATGATAAATAGGCTAAACATCTTTGCATGTGTAAACTATTTTTGCCTTGCTCATGTTCCCATTTTTTCCCTTTTCTTTCTTCATACAGTAGGCAATGAGCTCATATCTTGTCCCAGATTTATTAGCCCTATAATTCTTTGTTTATTGTTGTTCCTGTTCTTGTTCTGTTCTTAAATAAGAATCTTATTTAACGGCTCTGGTTTCGAGGCGTCCCGTTGCCATAGTTACGGTTAGAGAAGGCTACCTGAAGCTGAAGAGAAGCTAGCTTGATTAGCACTTCTAACTGAGGCTATATTAGTTGTTCTTAACTATTGCTTTCGCGGTAGTTAGACCAAATGAGTCGCGGAGAGTCACCGGAAAAGGAGTTAAGAACTCTAAATCACCCAGGTCAGCCTACAACCTTCTGTGTCTCTATGTCTGCCTCTTCCCCTCCTCTCTTTAAGCTAACATTAAGCGTTTGTCACTGTGACCTCTTCACCTGCGCAGCCTCTCTTATTTTTACAGTGGTAGAAGAAGAACTTAAGTAAAATTAGCAATACCACAGCAGTATGAAAATACAAGTCCTGCGTTCAAAAATGTAGCCTCGTCGAGTTCATTACCATTTAGTCATTTGGCATGTTAAAGTTAGGCTACTTTCATTTAACGTTAAGGACCAAACACAGCATCAATAAAGCATCAATACAGTAAGTACAAAAATATTAGCAACAAAAAGACTTAAAGCAGTGGCACATTTAATGGCAGATTATTATATTTTGTTGTCCACACACACACACACACACACACACACACACACAAACAACCAGTAACCTACCTCAAAATTGTGTCTACTACTTGAGCCTAAATTTGAGTACATGTGCCTACTTAGTTGCAACCCCCCACTGTTTTTTGAGAGTCAGAGTGGGAAGCAAGGAGTGGATCTGAAGCTTCAGTTTGGAGGCAGAACTACACAGAGTCTTAGCCAGAAAATAGGTCAATATCAGTGGCTTTTGATTGATTCTTTTGCAAATACATATCCTCCAAAGCGCTCTAGCAATTTCTTCCCTCAATGGCCAAGGGTATCTCTAAAGCAGAGCACTTACCTGAAAAACTGTACTGAGTCTGTGAAAGGGAAGATGGAGGAAGTGAAGCAAAACATTTATCAAAGCCAAGGACAAATAATTGGTATCGTGGCCATGGAAACTATAATCAGTCACTGTTGGATTAAAAGAAATTAACATAATTGCATAACCATGTCAATGTCCCAGGGTAATCGCTCATCTCTGTGTGTGTATGTGTGTGTGTGTGTGTGTGTGTGTGTGTGTGTGTGAGCACTGATGTATTTTGTGCACAACGAAATAGAACTTCTTTTCACTTTTTAAAATGTTAAAATCAAGGCATCGGTAATTACCAGCATGAATCATAATCTTTGTGTGTAGGGATTGTACAGAGAGATCTCATAGTTAAAAAGTATTTAAACGCCCAGTTTGACATAACATGGCATTACTCACACACACACACACACACACACACACACTGTTGTCATTTTCTTGACCCTACTCCAGAGAACAAGAAGCTAAAAACGGAGGAGGAGCTGAACATCTCGGGTGATGACCAGTCCACGAAGTCTACTCCTAAGGGTGGACGTATCCAGACTCGGGACATTCACCCACGGGACCTCAATAACGTAAACCACCTTCATCCATATATAGTATTTACCATTAGTTGGACAATGACTTTATGACTTTAAAATACAAATAGTGTGTGTGGCATCAACTTCCATATTAAAGCAGTTGTTGTATGTCTAACTGAGTATGTGATGTAACAGCAGTTTCATATACCAAAGCCACCCAAGAGCCGTCAAAAACCAGTGACACAGCCAGTTGATGGAGTTAGGAATGCTATGCAAGGGGCGGTGGCTCATGCAGGGAATCTGGAACCTGACTCTCAACCTCTGGACTACGCAGGTTAGTTGTATTCCTTTGCCCTTATGGATAAATAACATACTGCATATTGAATGTTTTGCCATAGTTAAAAAGAGGTATCCTACTCATAAAATGCATCCTTGAGGATTAATGTGCTGTTTTTGTTGTCCCTCTACTTCTCTTTTCATGGTTGGAAGGACTTCGGTTTGATGAGCATGGGATGATTCTGGCACACAGCATCCTGGGTAGTTTAGAGGATTTCAGAAGTTATTTGGAAGCCAAAGGGGAAACTGAGGTACATTGAGAAAATAATATAATGGGACACATGAAAGGCAAACATTTTTTACATACATTATTTAAAACGTATCAACCAAGGGCAGCTCACATTATGTAAACTAACAATTCAACAGCAGTACTTGGACTGTGTTACTATGTTAGTCACCTGTGGTTCCCTCTATCCTCCCTCCACCATGCAGTTGGTGAAACGAATACCAAAGTCCCACGCTGATACTTCATCTGAGACCCGTGGGAGGTATCACTCTGGACGTGGGATCCCTTCAGACCACAGAAACATCCAGAGTAATGCCCTGCAGCATTGGCATAAACATATGATGCAGCGCAGACAGCAGCAGGCCTCTTATCTGGTGAGCTGATGAGAGTGCACAGAAACCTGCACCAGATGGAGATCAAATTTGCATTATTATTACTGTCCGTTTACAAATGCAGGGATGTGAGAAGCCACAATAAGCTAATTTACCATGTATTTAATAACATTAACAATAGACCAGTACCACACTGGCATTGTATTAGTTAAGAAAAATATTTGAACCGAATCAGGTGTTTATAAATGAAGAAACTATATAGCAGAATCCCAAGTGAGGTTTCTTATTTTAAGCAAATTGAAGAGCATTTTATTTGCTTATTGTATTTGTAGCATTTGATTTCCTAAGCTTGCATTAATGTCTCTTGTCTGTCTGTATGTCTGTCTGTCTGTCTGTCTGTCTCTCTATTCATCTGCTGCACTTTTCAACTCTTTGAAGACTTGCTCGACAGACCAGTCGAAAACTTACTGATGAATCAAGATAACCGTTTCAGAGAAGCTCAGGAGCAGAAGGATTTCTAAACCAAAATATGCCACTCATCCAGTCTGGATATGTATGACACACATTTGCTTACTCTGGTTTACTTTCGTCAGTCATGCTCCTATGTCACACTAGTAATAGTTCTACAATAACTAAAATCTCTAAACCAGATTTTCTCTGTAGCTTCTTCATTCAAATGTATCGGGATTTCTTTGTCTTAGGGTTACCGAGTGGGCAGTGAGTTTTGGAGTCTCCCCCAGCACTACGGAGATGAAATGAGTGGCATCACAGCCACGCTGACAAAGACAGAGCAGGGCAAACGGGAACCTGTCACATGTAGCGCAACCGAGGAGCATACGCCAGGAATCAGGTGCACACAAACATGTACAGCACGCCATGTCCAAGTTTTTTCCTTCAGCCATGTTCCCGACCCTGTTCCTTCTGATTGTGCATCTACATGAAACCTAGTGTTGTCCTAAAGAAATTTTAAAAATGTGTTGTGAAGTTGACAGTTAAACTGTCCACTTCTCCCTCTGATGAGACATTTTTAATAACCACACATCAAGAGCAATGCCAGAACATCTTCAAATAAGCTAATGGAAGAAGATGAATGGATAACAGAGGTAATGTAAACTGGTTGCATCCAACACAAAAGACAAAGAAGGGGGGACTCTAAACTGAGAGTAACTATGCTTTCTCTGATTCCCTCCTGTAGGTAACTGAGACTCTACGTCCAGCTTCTCGGACTTGGGATCAGAGTGCATACCTGCAGCACCAGTGTCAGGCGCTCGGAGAGGTTCTAAGGGACGTGGACATCAAAAAGCCGGTAACACATATTTGTTACGGACAAGCCATATGGACAGTAGGAACATATAAATATTTTGGTAGATCAGAATAGTCCCTACCAAAATATGAGTGAATGAAACACTATATTTATGTAGGCTACAGTGCTGTAGTTGGAGGGAAGTGGTTGGGGTAAATGGCGGACATACCAAGCGCAGGACTGTCAAACCAGAAGTTAGTGTTTACGTCCAGGCTCCTGTCTGTTGTAAGGTCTCTGCAACAAAGCACTTCATTGGTCATGGTTAGGAAAGGATCATGATTTTGGTCGAAAGTCACTGCAGAATTTTTCTGTACTAGTGCCAGTGCCAGTGTCTATAAAAATGCTGAATAATGCTGTAGTCACTACTAATGGATAGTGTATTGCTAGATTGCGTTGGAAAATAAATAAATTGTCAGTGAACATTTTACTTATGTTCAGTGTTAAAATTTTTGCGACTTGCCATTTCCTCATTATGTTAATAGAAAACATAATTTGGTCAGCATTATGTTTTCCTCAAAACACAGACCTATGTGCTTTTGCAAACAAATTGTATATTAAATGTAATTTCTGGGAGACGGGACTGTATATGGACACACATCCTATGTTGTTGTTATTTAGCATTTCTGAGGCTATTGTAATGAAAAATCAGTTAGTTTTATTTTATAAAAATAATTTTCCTCTCAGTCACTTCATCCTGGTGTGGGTTGTTGTTTCCCTATGTATCTAGAGACTGAAACCTACGACCCTGCTATAAACATGTCAAAGTTGGAGGTGTGTGATGCCTCCAGCGTATCTTCTGGAGTTTTATCTAATCCTGTGCCCCTCCCCCCAGACAAAATCGAGACAACTGTACCCCCACCTTTTTGTTGCCTATATTTTTTGCACTTTGGCAAATGGATTCCATTTATACCGAATTAATGTTAGCAGTTAATTTCTGCAATGTACCCATAGCTGTACAGGTAACTATCGCTGGATTATACTTAAAACTGTGAGGCCAGGTGAAGGGACTGGTGCACGCAGGTGTTTTGAAAACAAGGGGAAGTTAGTTGTTTGGCCTGTCTACTGACACAGTCAACAGTTGGAGATGCAGCAGTGGCTGTGACACACAGCCCATGGAAATAATAAGGTATTTAAAAACCACTCGATTGTCGCAATTTAGGTCAAGAACATTCCTTCTCAACTCATTGAAAATACAGACGTGATACACATATCTTCAGGTTCAGTGTGACTTTATTAGGAAATATCAGTATCACAATGGCCCTCTCAAACAAGGGCTCCATCTGACCAATCTGCTTAGAAATCATTGAAATAAGGCACTCCTTATAACTCCAGAATTTGCCTGAGAATCACCACGTTTTTAAGTTTTCATTCATGTTACAACCGCTGATATAACCTGAAAGCTGTGACGCAACAATCCACATCACACATGATTTACATAACCCATTTTTTCTGTTCTCTCAAACAACGTACCAGAACCTAATTTCATATGCACAGCACATATCTAGATTGTGCATATTTTGTTTCAACACAAACAGCTTCATTATTAAAACCTCTCATTGTCCAACCACACATCTCACTGAAGCTGCTCCCATCCTCAGGACTCTCTGTCTCTAGCTGCTGGAGCTACTAGATGGTCATGATCAGTCTGTATTTTCACAAACAACCTGTGAACATCCAGTCTTGGGCACACTGTTCTTGATTTTCTACAAGGAACAAACCACAATTCACTGGCAAGGCAGTCGACCATGCCCACACAAATACACATGTGCGTGCAGGAGCAAGGACAAATATGTGATGGTATATTTTATTACCTCTAAAATCTAAATTCAGAATCTGTACACACATGCCTAATGGGATTACTGAAGCACTGCAGCCCTTCCATAAACATGTCTGTCCGTTCACAGAGATGGCAAAGTTATGAAATCTGGAGCGTGTGCAGTCGTAGAGTGGCTCTGTTGAGACCAGTGGGGTGACAGTGCTGAAGAAAAGGGACTGAACGTGCCTTACTGCTCTCTGAATTGCAATTACTCCATCATCAGGGGCAGGAGGTTCTGGTGTAAACACTTAGACAAATGTGCACGTCGTTGCACAGCCAGTTCCCATTTAATTCTATTAAAACCCTGAGTAACAGGTGCTGATTAAGGGAAGGTTTATTCAAATCATTGTCTCTCTTTTACACAATCTGTGACATAATATGGTAGCAGTGTGTTCTGCCGTGCTGGTGGCTAATGTGATGCTGAGGAGATTTCGGGGTCTGAAGCACCTTCTGAAAAAACACAGACAGAGACAGATCGTCCTCTCAGGAGCTGACTTATCCATGGCTTTGTGACATACGTGTGAAGAGAGAGAGAGAGAGATGAGGGGGACAGTCTGGGGATATTATGAGAGAAAACAGAGAGAAGAAGGTAAGTACTTAGGTGGCAACTTAGGAGAGAAAATGTGGAAGGATATCAAGCCTCCAGTGTTATTAAAAGTTTCACTCTGCCTATCACATGATATAGTGGTAGAGTTCATGGCAACATTCAGATGTGTAATATTGTTAGGGGAGGGGACATAAAGCAATACAGTATAGTAGAGTAAATACGAATGTAAACTTTCACTTTTTAAAATGTTAAAATCAAGGCATCGGTAATTACCAGCATGAATCATAATCTTTGTGTGTAGGGATTGTACAGAGAGCTCTCATACTTAAAAAGTATTTAGTGCTCTGCTTTAGAAAACTGAAGGAATTGAAGTTTCATTAGACACCTAAGTCTGACCTCTCTGAATGCGAGTAGACAGGACATGGACATACATTTTTAAAATACCAAAGTGTAAGGGACACACAAAGCTGACCTCCTTCTGAGCACTCGTGTCTCTTTGACTACAGGATATCGCTGGATTGGAGGTGATTGGCTCTGGCAAGCCAGTCACAATTGTCACGGTGTGTCATAGTCCGTCATGGAGAAGGAGAAGGAGAAGGAGCACAAGGAGCTGAAGAAGGAGAACCTGTAAGAAAAAACTCTGCTCCTCTTTATATTTTTAGATGTTTGCCACACCTTCTAATTAAAGTCCAACTTTTTCTAGACTGAATTAGTTAACATCAGGCCAACAATGATGCCTTATTTCAAAGGCACTAAAAACACAATTGGTATCTCCAAAAGCCATTAATTCAACAGTGCATTCAACTCATTAATTAAGTCAGGAAATGCCATGTGACCATGTTGTGTTTACAAGTATTTGCTCAATCGCTGCTAAATATAATTCAAACTGATATGGAAATAATGGAAACTAGGCATAAACTCCACTGTTTGTTCTTATTAGCAGCCTATTTAGTTTATTCTAACATATCGATTTATTTTCCATTAATGTGGGACTTGCTTCTCCTCAATGTGTTGAAGTTAAATGTCCCAACATGTACTAAAAAGTCATGTTGTGAATCAGCTTACTGATGCTAAGTTTGAAAATGTCAATTTTTACAAGAAACGCTTGAATGCATCATGGCATTTTGTGGCGTGATCGTCTCATGTCAGGGAAGTTGAATAAGGCTCAGTCTGGTCTTCATCTCATGGGCTGTGTCCTTTGAAGAATGCAACCCGTGAATTGGGACACAGCTAATGATTAACTGACTCTTCGCTAATTTTCAAACTCATGGACTGAGTGGGACTGCTCTCTCATTGTCTTCCACAGTGATCCACTGGCACAGGATGAAGATGTCCGGTCAGATGCTCTGCTGATTCCTGCCTTGAGATTCTGTGGTCAGCTTGCTAGCTGGACTGGAAACTCTACCACTAACCAGGTACAGAACGGGCCTTAACACAGAAAAGTTCACTACACTTCAGTACACTTCCTGCATGCTGTTGTCTTAAAAATAATTTGGTATAATGTCCATTTCAACAACATTAATCACATCAGTACTTGCATGTTTCCCTGAACTATGTTAAGCTACCATTTTTTTCAGAATTATGATATTAAATGTCTTGCAGCCTCTCTTTATATGTAGGCTTTTAATGTGAAAAACATTAGGAGGTTTCGGACATTTTTTGAATACCAGCTCTATATGACAATATACACATACACACGGTATGTGTTTTACAGTGACATTTGTGTTTATATCTCGCACATACTACACCACCACATATCAAAAATAGATGGCTGGGTATGATGTTATTTGTTTGGTGTCTGTATTGCCTTGGTTTCTGTCATCTCCTCACTCTCCACCACTCATCAATCAGGGAGAAGTAGGATCAGTGCCACAATAATCTTTGAGGCCCTGACTGGAGAGAGATCCTCATCCCATGTGGAGTTGCACAATGAGGCAGCACAGCCATCTTCTACAGCTGGCAGCAGCTTCCCGTGCCACGCAGCTTTCCAAACCTGCGTACACAAACAAAGAGTCCACACTTCTACTTCAACTCCTCCTCTGGTACACACAAACATAATCAGGCA